GTGTCACTGTGACTATCCTAGTGGTGGCCACTGTGAAAGTGTTCTGTACAAAAACTTCCTCACACACATCTCCCCTCAGATTCCTCTGTAGTTACACTCCCCAGTCTACTCTGGGAATAAATACTGTAGCTTGATATTTGTATTATGGATAATGATGTAAACAGTCCTTGCACAGTTTGCGACATCCCATTAGATAAAACAATGAGGCACTGGAGATGGTGAAGAAAGTTGATTCTCTCTGTCATTGATATCAGCAGTGTGAGTAACTGTCTCATCCAATTGTCTCGAGTAACTGTAGTGTCAGTCTGTTAATACAATATGCATGGAGATCTTATGTTATTTTATAAGCCTTCTCAACAAAAGGCACCGTTATAATATATATATTACATATACTGTGATGTATTATCACAGATTTCCAATATTTTCCAATGCTCATATGATAAATTTTACATCCTTTGCCTAGTACCAAGTTTTACCACATTCCCTGTTCTTAACTGTGCTGTTACTGTGACTCTGCTGGGCTCTATTATACTTAACTCTATGTTCACCAAGGCACGAGACAGTAAACTTTGATGACAGATCATTTTGCTTGATTACAGAGTATTATAGATATCTCGGTGTATAATTGTCAAGGATGTACACTACATGGGCCTCACAGGAAGGTTTTTGTCCGGGAGTGTATCACTGTGATTATTGTCGTGGTTGTAGCAGCCACAGTGTTTCAGTCCATTACAAAAACCTCTCTTGATAAGACATGCATGAAGCACAGCCCAGAGACTCACACAGTCTAATAGTTATATTTTATTGTTCTTTCAATACAATTCAGTTTGTTTTCACTGTAGTGAGTAAGAAGGAAGAACTGACACTACATGATCCTTACAACAAGGTTTTTGTCCGGGAGCGTATCACTGTGATAACTGTGGTAGTGGTTGTAGCACTCACAGTGTTTCAGTCCATTACAAAAACCGCTCTTGATAATACATGCATGACGCACAGCCCAGAGACTCACACAGTCTAATAGTTATATTTTATTGTTCTTTCAATACAGTTCGGTCTGTTTTCACTATAGTGAGTAAGACGGAAGAACTTACACTACATGATCCTCATAAGAAGGTTTTTGTCCGGGAGTGTATCACTGTGATTATTGTGGTAGTGGTTGTGGCACCCACAGTGTGACAGTCCAATACAGAAACCTTTTGTGATGAAGAGTGTACGACTCCGAGCCCAGTGACCCACACACAGCGCAACAGTTTTTTATATGTCTCTTTCAATCATCAATGCCTTACGATTTGGAGGAAGGGATAATTTGGTTCCATTAAGTTACCTTTACCATAAGTAAATATGGTAAATACAGGAATACCTTTACCATAAGTTTACCTGTTACCTTTTGTTGTTTGTTAGTTTTTTTGTTGTTTTGCACATTGTCTGTTGTTGTTTTTGCACACTGCCTGTTGTCTCTGTCTTTCTTTTATTATACAATTGTATTGTTGTTTTTTTGTATTACTTATCATCTGAGAGCTAGCTAAATAGCATTTCGTTATACCATATACTGGTGTATGAGTATAATGACAATAAACTTGAACTTGAACTTAAGTTAATAATATATTTGCTGCAGCAGAGCAGACCCACAGATCACTGTGTCTGAGGTGAAGCATAATTCACATTGGTATAGATACAACAGTGTTTTCACACAATCTAGATTTACAGATTTCTTCCTGAAAATCAAGCTTGAAACGTATAATAAATTTGCATAACCCCAGTACAATTATGTCGTATTCACTGTGATAAATGATGTGATGAAGTTATGCTACTTGATCCTCATAGGAAGGTTTTTGTCAGGCTGTGTATCACTGTGATTCTTGTGGTAGTAGCTGTTACCCACAGAGTAACAATCTCTTACAAAAACCTTTTCTGATAAGGACGGTATGACTCTGAGCACAGAGACTCACACACAGAGAAACAGTTTTTGACATGCTTCATTCCTTCATCCACACCTTAGGATTTGGAAGAACAGGTGAAAAGACTATAATCAAGGTTACAGTATAATGGCTTTACTGAGGCAGGAATAAAAGCAGAGGTTTCTGTGTTTAAAGTGAAGTGAAGTTGTGCCCTGATACTCCACTACACTCTGCACATTGGTCATGCAGTTCAGAGATTCGAATCTCCCCATGAAAAGAAAGAGACTTGAAATGTGTTTTTCTGTATAAGTTCACATTCCTTCAGTATGATTCAGTCTGTTCTCACAATGATATACTGTAGTATTGAAGGATGAATTAATTACTGACTGTCACATATGAAAGTAAGTGAATTGATTTTTTTAAAGGCATAGGATTTTGCTGAGGAGTGTATCACGGTGACTATCCTGGTAGCGGCCACAGTGAAATAGTTCTGTACAATAACCTCCTCTTACACAACTCCCTCGGATTCCTCTGCAGTTCTTTCCCCATTCGCGTGATACACAGCATTTGTTGATATTTCTACTATGAAGTACAAGTTAAACAGTGTGTGCGCTGTTTGCGAAATCACATTACAGCTGTAGATAACACAATGAGGCACTGGTGATGGTGAAGAGAGCTTATTCACTCTGTCTTTAATATCAGCAGTGTGATATTAAAATGCATCCTTATGCATATATCTTACACATACTGTGATGTACTGTCATAGATTATGTCCAATATTTTCCAGCGCTCATATGATAATTTTTTCTTTTACCATATTTTGCCATGATTTCCTATTCTTTACTGCACCATTCCTTGGACTCTGCAGAGCTATTATACAGTACTTAACTCTATTTTCACCAAGGCACAAGACAGCAACCTCTGACGAAAGATCATTTTGCCTGATTACAGGTTATTACAGATATCTGGGTGTGTAATTGTCAAGGACGTACACTGCATGAGCTTCACAGGACATTGTATCACTGTGATTACTGTAGTGGTTGTAGCAACAGTCCACCACAAAGCCCTCTTCTGATAAGGATTGCACGACTCTGCGCCCAGAGACTCACACACATGTCTACTTCACACACTGACAAAGAGAATTTGGAAGAGAGGATGAAATAAGTAATAATAATGAAATAATAATACTGTATTTTCTGAAGCAGAACAAAACCAGAGATTATTTCATTTTAACAGAGTGAAGCTTGAGTTTAATAGGGTGAAGCCCTGATATTTTATTTACTAGACTGTACAATGAAAAACACACAGCCTAGGTTTTTGAATCCTCTCCTGGAAACACAACTTATTAGAAATTCACCCTGTTACAATTCAATTCAGCCTGTTTTTACTCTGGTAAATGATGGGGAGGATAAACTAACACAACATGAGGCTCACAGCAAGGTTTTTGTCAGGCTGTGGATCACTGTGATGGTTATGGTTGTGGTGGCACTTGTTACACAAAGTGTAACAGTCCATTATAAAAACCTCTTCTGACTCTGAATGCAGAGACACACAGTCTCTCAGTGACATATTTGCATTGATTCCATACAATTCAGCCTGTTTTTCTCTGTGGTAAGTGATGTGTAGGATGAATTTTACACTATGTGAGCCTCATAACAGGGTTTTTGTCAGGCCCTGTATCACTGTGAGTCTTGTGCTAGTGGTGGCTGTTATGCACTGTGTAACAGCCCATGACAAAAACCTCTTCTGATATGGACTGTACGACTCTGAGCCCAGAGACACACACACAATCTTAGAACCTCTTTCAAACACTGACACACTAAGATTTTTGAATAAAGTGTAAATTACTTATGTTAAGTTAATAGATTAGCTGATGGAGGACAAAAAACAGAGGTTACTGTGTCAAAACTGTCTGATGTTTGGCTCTGATGTTTATATGTTACACTCTCCACAAAACAGTCTATATTTAACACAGCTGTGATTCTCTAATCTCCTGGAAACACAATATTATACATTCATATTAGTTCAATGCTGTCCAGTCCGTTTTCACTCCAGTAAATGACATGAAGGAAGAACTGATACTGTCATAAGAGAGTTCTTGTCAGGCCATGTATCACTGTGAATACTGTAGTGGTGGTTGTAACCCACAGTGTAACAATCCATTACAAAAACCTCTTCTGATAAGGAGTGTGCCAATCTGGGCCCAAAGACTCAAATATAATATAAGGGCTACCTGATTGCATTGATAAGAAATAATTCAGTCCATTCTCATTGTAGTACTGTATATGATTTTTTGGATGAATTCTACATGAGCCTCATGTGAAGGTTTTTGTCAGGGAGCGTATCACTGTGAATATTGTAGTGGTAATTGCCACCCACAGTGTAACGGTCCATTACAAAAACCTCTCATGACAAGGAGTGTGAGACTCTGAACCCAGAGAGTCAGTCACTGTCTAACAGTTATATGTTACTGCAATACATTTCAGTCTGTTTTCACTGTAATAAATGATGTGAAGGATTAACATGAAGTAGAACATTCAAAGGTATTTGTCAGGCAGTGCATCGTTGTGATCATTGCACTAGTGGTGCTTGTTACTCACTGTGTAACCATCCATTGCCAAAATATGAAATTCAAACTGATATTCAAGTCTCCGAACACAGAGAAAAATCCCTGACTCTAAGATTTGGAAGAAAGGGTGAATTACTTCAGTAAATAACTTGTTTACTAAGGCAGGACAAAAACCAGGGTCACTGTGAGTAACCTCTTGCCCTGATGTCCTGTAGTATCTACCACTCTGCTCACATTGGAAATACACAGTTTAGATTTAACACGATGTTCTAATCTCCTTCTGGAAACATAGTTTATAAATTCATATTGCTTCACAACAGTTGAGTCTGTTTTCACTGTTATAAATGAAGGGAAGGAAGAATTGATACTACATCACAGCTAAGCTTTTGTCAGGATGTGTATCACAGTGATTATTGTCATAGTAGTTATTGTTACCCACTGTGTAACTATCCATTAGTTATTGTTACCCACTGTGTAACTATCCATTAGTTATTGTTACCCACTGTGTAACTATCCTGTGATAAGAAGTGCACCAATCTGAGCTCAGGGACTCACCGTACAAAACATTTTAAGAATCATTTGACTGTTAAGACCTGGAGGAAAAGATACATTTGTTTATTGAAATAAATAATGGCATTTCATAGTCAATTTAAGAGCTATCCAGGGTTATGTTCATTATCCTTTCATGAAATTCAGCATGTTTTCACTTTGCTGAACTGTTACAGGAATGAGCTTGATTAGTGACTGTGAAAGCTGCGAAGAGTTTGTTTTTTTCTAAAGGTGCAGGTTTTTGTAGCGGAGTGTTACGCTGTGGATATGATGGTAGCACCCACAGTGAAACAGCCTGATACATAAACCCTTCCTCCTCAGGGTCCACAAAGCCCACTGGAAATTCAGTGTGCCATCAAGTCCTTCAAGCAAGGTTTAACTTTGCATTTGTACAGCCAAGGAGAAGCTGAGCCTTTGCACTGTGGTTTTTATGACAAGCTCATCAGTTAAGCCTGAAGTGTTGGCAGTCCTGGATATCACGGGCAGTGCGAAGAAATGTCTGATTACAGCACTTTGCTGTGAGGTTGTAAGTATGATATTCATGCCTATGCTGGCTTATTGTTCCCATTACAATCCGCTCACTAATGTTTGTATTAATTGTGTAGTATTGCAATGTTAAATTGTCATAGCAATAGTACTGGACTCCAGCTTTACCTCATAGTGTTGTCTTTTCCAAGCTTTCACATGTATCATGTGAACTGTCTATATGTATCCATATCATAACTGTTATATTTACATGTGCTGGTACTTCACTTACCTTAAGTACAACATACTTTTCAAGTGGTTCAATTTCAGGTTGTCGAAATTGGTTCTTATTTTTAGAGTGCTTGCACACAAGATGTCAACTAGTTGTTTTTTGTAATGCAACTTTTGGTATATAGTATGGTGGTGTATAACTGTGACTGTAACTTATATCAGCCATTGTGATACAGTTGTGCTCTTGTACTGTCTGTAGGTGTTTTTGGTGGATTTTCATGAGAGAGGTTTTTGTCAGGCAGTGTAGCACCGTGATTATTATGGTAGTGGTGGCCACAGTGAATCACTTCGGCACAAAAACCTCTTCCCATACAGTCTACACAAACCCTACATCATGAGAACTGTCTATAATTTTTATTATCTTAGAACAATTATACTTCCATGTGCTGGGAATTCAGTGTGCTCTAGTACAACATAATCTACCAGCAGTCATTTTCTTACTGCAATTTTGTTCTGACTATTGAATATGTTAGGTAAGTAGAAACTTAGGTGCTTATTTTTTGGAATACTTGTATGAGATGTTATCTAGGGGCTTTTGATATTATAACAGTGTGGTTATACACAGGGGTTACTTATATCAGAAATATTTTCACTACACAGTGATACAGTTCTGTTCTCATACTATGTGAGCATTTTTAATGGAATTTCATGAACAAAGGAGGTTTTTGTGCAGAGGCAGCTGTTACTATTACATACAAGGTGTTATTTATATCAGCCATAGTGATGCAATTGTGCTCTGTTACTGTATGCAGGTGTTTCTGGTGGACTTTCATGAATGAGTGTGAAAGAGGTTTTTGGCAGGCAATGTAACACCGTGATTATCACAGTAGTGGTGGCCACAGTGAAACACTTCAGTACAAAAACCTTTTCCCATATGGTGGACACAAAGCCTGCTGAAGACACTCTGTGCATCAAAGACATCTTCTTAGTGGGGTAAACATTGGAAATGATTACAAAATCCAAGTTAAAAAGACCTCTGATTGCATTTTTTCTATAAAAGCTTATTAATTAAAACCATAAAAATAACCGGAAGCAATTTAGTCACCTCTAAGGACTATAAGATTATCAATGCAATATGCATTTTTTACTGATCTTTCTTCTGTAAAGATTATCAGTATATGAGTTCTGGCCAGGATACTGTACTGGTTCAGTTTTCCTAGGCTGAGTATGTTAGTTGCCTTGATCCACCTGGGCAATTGACCTTTTTCTGGGATAGCATGCTCTAACGACAATCTCACTTTTATTGTAATCACATTGTAAAGGCAATATTGGGTTGATTTCTGATTGTGCCAAATCTGTGGGTGTTAGGTTTTAAAGAATGCTCATGTGTCATTGCACAAGAGGATTTTGGCAGGGAATGTACCACTGTGCTGATTATAGCTATAGCAGCACAGTGAAACACACCCGTACAACAACCTCCTCCCACCTCCCATTCAGTGGCCTGGATTCACATTGACAACAAGCAGCACTTTCCAATTTGTACAGAACAATTAGAAACGACTTTCCAACACAGCTGGGGTGCAGGATGTTTTTCATGATTGGATGGACAGATGTCTGAGTGTGTGATTCTCAAAGATTTACACTACTTGAGTCTTATTGGATAGTTTTTTGTCAGCTCCTTTGGCCCTGGGTCTCCTGCTCACTCTGGCTGCCTTTCCTTGTAGATTATTGTGTTACAGCAGTGGAGCTATATTTTAATCAACATAAGATTGTTTCTATGGCTCTCAGTAGGGCACTGCATTTGGAAAATTGAAGGAAACCGCCTTGTAAAATATTGAGTTTTGCTTCTGTTTTTCTGTTTGTGATTTTCTTTCCCAGGGTATCACTCTTCTTCCATTCTTTCGATTGCAAGCTCAAGTAACTACAGATAAGATTCTACTATGCAATGTACCACCTGTCTTTAAATGTATCTGATATTTCTTTATATTTCAGGATTTTCTGTGTTTTTGTTTTCTGTGCCTACTACACCACTAAGAGTGACCTATGTCGTCTCTTTCAGTCCAGTGTTGAGCTGATGCAGTCTGAATCTACAGAGGTCACACCAGGAGAGTCTCCCTCATTAAAATCTGCCACTGCTGGGATTTGAATTGATGACTCTGACAGGTTTCCGAGAAAATCCTGGAGTGGACAATTTGGATTTACTCCTTCTTCTGCTGTATCTGCACCTCAGCTAATAAAGGATCATTCACAGCCTACGACAGACAGTGGGACGTTCCCTCTGGATATGAGCAGCCTGATGAAGACACTCATGTTTATTACGGAGGGAGAGACACAGTGGTACAAGCAATTTCTCACATGAGGATAACATCTAGAGAACAGGCACAGGACGGCTTTGTGCTCCAGCGACATCTACACTGAAACACTGAAGCTTCTCGATAATTTTCAAAAGTAACAAACAGGTAAACAATTTCTTTCAGTCCAACAATTTCAAATTTGGCAGTGCCTAAAGTTTTTGTCA